TAACTTGTTTAGCATAGTTAAACAGTTTGCTGCTCAAAAACTTACTGCATGACATCTCATTTTGAATAGGTTAAATTGTGGCAAATTAGGTCTCTGCCTTCAGTCTAATGTGTTCCACAGAAAAGAGGGAAAAAACTCTCCACTAGAGATGTCATTTGTAAATTGAAATTCAACATTTTTTTTCTATAGCCACAAAGAGGAACATGTGGATTTCATGTTTAAATGATTCATTTTTCTATACCATTGCCATCACATTAGCATTTCTTGATGTGAGATAATATTAAAACTCTGTAATTGTTCTTAATTTTGACTGATATTCTTGCATTGCTTACTAGACTGTTCTAAGGTACACAGGTGTAGAGAAGGGTTGTAGTCTTCTATATTTAGAGAAGATAAGGCCATCATCATTGCCATGTTTCAGTGTGGGTAATTGGTTTCATTCTCCAAAATCGTATTGAATCTTGGGTTGCAGGAAATGCTTTCACCCACTTTTCACCCACCCACCCAGAGAGTACTCAGTTGTGCTTTAGTATCCTTCTAAATAATAAGATCTTTATTATATATACCTTTTTAACTCATAAGGGCCTGAATTCATATGTGGAATGAAGCTTATATTTTTGTGCCCCTTGCAGAGTTTTTATTGTATATCAAGACTTTCTGATCACTGTTTGATTGGAAGGGAGTAACAAGTTCAATGGGTGGCTGTATTCTGAAACGTTGGGACCAAAAATTGCCACATGTCAGCTGTTGTATGTAACTCTAAACACTGGCATTGTTGCCCTCACCCCAGGAGATGACAGAGCAATAAACCATGGAGTGGGCACACAGACAGTTGCAGTGGAATCTGGTGAACTTGGGTCCTACTGTACCTGCATCCTCTGTTTGTATGTCCACACAAATTTACAAAGGTGGTCTGTTCTTTAGGTAAATAGAGCGTTTAAGCCAGAGGTGATCATGAGCAGCAGTAAATGTTCCCATCTTCCCTGGAAGTCAGCTCTAATGTCAGCAGTCCTCAGAAAAGGACTTGGCTGGTTCAGTTCACTTTTCTTTGGAGATAGTAAAATGGATAGCAAAGTCTTCTGCTGTTCTCTCTATCCCCCTACACCAGACTGTTAATTGAGTAGCTACAAAGAGAAGAGATCCCTTGCAAGATCAAATATGACTCTGTGACTCAGACTCTCTCTTCGGAGCATCACATGGTGATCCCCACAATAATGATATGCTCACATGCATCAAGTATTCCTGTGATTTCTGTTCTATTCAGGCTAAGAGAATATTAGATTTGGGGTATTATAAATGATTAGACTGAAAATCTTTTAAGTTTTTTCAATTATAGAAATTGTCATGTTTTGCTAATAGTCTTCTGAAAAGCAAATAATACTGAAAGCAATCTGGTAAATAACTGTTTCATTCAGTTCATTGGCTTTGTTCATTTTTGCTTCAGATTTTATTCATACAAATCCTCTCCACTTGCTAAAAACATCATTGCTTGCAAGCATGGTGCTGTTAGGTGGCCCTTCACTAGCACCTTTGAAGATTCACCAAGATGTGTTTTATCCAGATCTGGTTCATTGTCACGTTTGTCTAAACCAGCTCCTAATGAGGTGGGTTTTTTTTCCCCCTTGTTTACAAGAAGCACAGTTTCAGACAAGACTCTTCAGACATATGCCTTGCTTCTTCAGAATGCTGCCAATAATTTCAGTTGAAGAGGATAGAGCCATGCGTGTAAAATGCTTCACAACAAAGCTGATGGATGGATCTGGCATAAGCTTTGGTTTGTACTTCTGTTATTGGATTGAGAACTGAGAATATCTCTTTATTTCCTGCCTGATGAGTATGGTAGATGTAATATTCTTCTCAGGCAGGCTTTTTGTTGTGAGGATGTGAATGACACTGGGGCTTTTTGCTCCACATACAGTGTTTAAGTTGTCAATAAATAAAAATCACAGCAGGCATTTGGAATGTTTTCTTATGTAACTGAGGGAAGGAATTGCACCTGCCTTCATGCTTTGGTTCATTCTGGATCTTCTGTTTGTTTTCCATAAAAGTAGCCTTAGCCTTTGACTGCGAAAAAGAAAAACTGGAGGAGAACCAGAATTTAAAATTATTTAGAAAGTCAGAAAGCTGTGAGAAATATGTCCCAGACAGAATGCTGTGCAACATTACAAGAAATGTCCTCAGGACCAGCTTTTATCTCATCCCATAAACTACTCAAATCCACTGCACAGAGGCAGGACCCACTGGTATTCTGACTTTTTCCTGTGTTTTGTTTGGGGTTTTTTAGTCTGTGATGGAACTAACAGAATTGCTGATCTTGCCCAGTGAGTTTCTAACCAAGTTTCAGTGGAGCAGTTGCATTTAGGAAGTCAGGATTTCAGTATCCCCTCTGTATTTAAGTGGGTTCTGATAGTGTCCTCAGGGATGAGTTCTGATGCAGTGAAGTAACTTGCTGGAGGGTTGCAGAACAAGCAGTTAAAACCAAGTCTTTGAGGTCACAGCTACCTTGGCACAGGCAAGTAAAAGTAGCCTTTTCTGCCATAGCAAAGTGCAAGTTTAGTACATGTTGAAACTTGAATCTAGGGGGGAAAAAATACTGCTTTTCAGTGGTGTTATGATAAGTACAAATTACCCTTATGTGGTGCTACACTGAAAATACAGCATGTGGATAAGGGTGTGCCCTGCTCTTTATCTGTTAGCCTGTATCTAAAAAAATTGTTCTCATTCAGGTATAGTGTGTTTCTCAATTGTGAAATTTCATTGTAAGCTTTAGCAGATGATGTGTGTGTCTGGCAAGCAGCAACACTGGTGGGAATAAATATCATGTAGCTCTTACTTGGATTTTTGATTAGTGGCTCTCAATTCATTTCCTTTCCCACAAGGAGAGAAGAGTTACTAAAAACTATTTCACATACAAAATTGCATAGGTTTCAGTGAATTTTTCTTTATGTTGTTTCTGTGGTTTTGGTTTGGGTTATTTTTTCCCTTCTGAGAGATCTGTGACCTAAGTCCTATCAGTACAGTAGGCATTCAGCATTTTGTTCACCAGCTCATGTGCCTCTCTTGCCTTCTGGAAATAGTGTATTTGATATTAGCAGAGCTTACACATGCTGTTGTAGAGAGGTTTGAAGCAACTTCTGTTTCCCCTGCAGATCAGTGGCCTGTGGAAGGAGCTGTATTCACTCAGAGATTTAGTGTCAGGCAGTCACTTCTCTGGTGGTTTAAGTGAAGAGTTCAAAAAAGAATCCTTTTCCCTTTTACTTGGAAGATTCATAACTCAAACTACTAGCTCTGTTCATGGGATTTTTTTTACATGAAGCCTTACAATATGGCTTCTTACATGTACTCACTTGGATTCTTGCCTTTCATCTGTATACACATTCATTCGACTCCTCCACCAATAATTATATGATCAGGTAGCGATGTAATTCTGAAATGCAGCCTAGGTAAAGCTCTCACTGGTTGGTTGTGTGAGCTGTACCCCTGTTGGTAGAGCAGAGGTAGAAACCCACTTTGCACAATGCCTGTCTGCTTTTTCAAATTCTGCTATTGTTTTAAAAATCCATGCCCTGCATGTCAGTCATCCCTTGTTAGAACAAGGCCTCTGACCAAGAGCGTTTATTGAATAAGAATTATCTAATGGAACGTGGTCCAAAAGCTCACAGACTGGGAACTCCTGAAAACCTGCCATAGCAGGAATTTTTTTTCCCCTTCATTTGTCATGATGTTAATATATGCAGCTACTCAGGCATGAGGGGATGAAGGGAGAAAAAATAGGTTGTGAACATTATAGTTGATCCCGATGCTTAGAAATGAGCAGTCATGTTTTCCCAAATTATGCAACTGATTTAAAAGTAATGATATATTTTAAAAATTATGCCCCTGAGATTTGTGCCTCCCAGATAAAACACTCATATCATTTTCATATTTTTCTCAGCAATTCCAAGAATTATAAAACCACTACTTAGTAAAACCCAACAATTCCTTAATGCTCTCTATTCTTGTTGTTTCTGGAGTTTTCACTGACACATCTACCATCACCAGAACTGGAGAATTTAGTAACAATATTACTGTTGTAAATTGAATTCCTTCTTTTCTGTGCCATCCCTCTCCTGCAGCTAAAATTTTGGAATACTTTGGCAATGTAGACAGTGAGAGATGACAGTGTGAACAATAGTATAGGTAAGTTTACTAAGTGCCTCTAAAATCAGGACTTCCTATTGTTCAGTAAAAAGGCAGAAATTAATGTGGTAGTCAAGAATAAAAAATCCATTGCTGATGCAAATTTCAAAACAAAATCAGATTTAGTTTTTTTCCCCTTTCAAAATCCTGCCACCCTCTTCAGGAGAGGTAGGATTCCCCTCTGAAATGTCTGCATGCCTTCTGTGCATGTGAAAGCATTTTCAGTTAAGAAATAACCCTCAGTTTTTCATGATGCTGAAGCTGATCACCCTAATTGCTTATAATGATGTCACAAGCAGTGAAGCCAAGGTTCCTGGAAGGGATTGGTACAGTGAGTGTGCTTCTCCCTGGCACTGGCATTTCTGAGTCTGTCACATTTGCCTCATTGGCCAGCAGCAAAGATTGAAATCTTGATTATTGGAAGGTGCTGTGCTGCCATGTCCTAGCAGTGGGGCATAAACACACATCAAAGACGTTGAACCCAAGACTAAAAGTTCCCTTAATTTGGGCTCAGACAATTTGGGTTTCCAAGTGGAATCCGCTATGATTTGCAGGTGGCAGAGGTGGTGCTGTGGAGAGAGAGTTTGGGGAGCTCTGGTGTTTCAGCTACAGCTTGTCTCTAACTCAAGTCATGTCAGTGAATGGTGTAAGTATTAATAAGAATGAAGCAGGATTTTCTGCATTCACTGTGCCGTTGAAAGTCTTGCTTTTGAATTAGGTGCTCTTCCTAGTTGCCAGACTTTGCAATAAAGTGATGTAGAAAGGAATATGTCAGCCCTCATATATGTTATTTACCATGTTGCTTTGCCTTTCCTTTGCAGCACTTACAGAACCCAGCAAACTTCCATAATGCAGCAACAGAGCTCCTGGACTGGTGTGGAGACCCCAGAGCCTTCCAGAGACCGTTTGAGCAGAGCCTGATGGGCTGTTTGACGGTATGTCCACCCTGCTGTCACAGGGGCTCCAGTTCTGTTTTATTCTCTGTTCACTCTCTCGTGGCCAAGGGAACTTGATTTTCAGAATCTGCATTTTAAGGGAATTTTTGTCATTTTACCTTTAATACATAAAGCCAGACCCTAAGACCTGTTTATTTGACTCCATTGCTTAACAGGAAGCCAAATGCAATAAGAAGAAGTTAGAGCATAAGAGGGCTAAACATTTTTAGTTAGATTACTTACAAATGCACAGGCTGGTTTATTTGTAATACACATACAGTATTATCTCATGATGTGAAATTGCTAATGTTTTTATAGAGTGATGAACTTTCCAGGTATTTATTTTCCTTTGGCATTTTTGGTAGGGCTGAAGGACCACTTGCCTTTTATTCTATGTATGCTGTGCATCCAGCTAAACAGTGTTTCTGACATGCCTGCTTAGCTTACTTTGTTATATGAATTGACTGCAGGTCTCATCCTGACATACTAATTCCAACAATTCCATTGATTTCAGTGCTTTTCTTTTCATTCACTTTTCATTAAGACCACTGTAGTTCCTAAGCAACTTCATTATAATGCATTAAAATAGATATTTTTCTGTACATTTTGGTTTTGAAACTTTTGTTTTCCAGCAGCAGCAGTCCAGAACTTTTATGCAGAGTTAAGACTTTAGATTAATTAAATTCTGACTGAGCAGAAGGATTAAAAGTCTCACTGCAATTTGCCAAGCAAGATGATCTAAATAAATAGTCACAAAAGTAACAGAAATTCTGAAATTAATTATGAAGGGACTATGATTTTATTTGTTGTGGGGCAGAAGTGCATTACTTTCATGCAATGTGTAGCTGGTATACATGAAACAGACGTTAAGACTGAAATTGAGTTGCCTGAAATCCAAATGTTAAGGAATGGCTCCATCTTAGTGTGCTCCAGTGTATAGCATCCCTCAGATTTGTATGTCAGAAAGTTAGAATAAATCCAGTCAGACACATAGGAGATGCATATAATCTTCCAGCTGGAAAAAGATAAAATAAAGGAAGTTAAAAATGGTAAAGTCCAAAGACAGACTATTTAACAATCCTGTTTGAAGTAAAAGTTATCAGTAGCATCAATTATGAGAAAATGCACATCATGTCTAATAGACCATAACTATATTTTATTTAGGCTTTTAAACAACTTTGTTAGCATTTTTCAGGGTAGCTTTTGGGAAAGCAGGTATTTACCTCAGGTATAACTGGGCAATCTGTGCACAGTATTTCTCTGCAGCCCTTGCTGGAACATTGTGAGTCTGACCTGCGACTTCCTTGCTGTTTAAATCTTTTCTTTCTACATGAGCAGATCTTCAGCCCTGCCCAAGTGAAGGGTCAAAATAAGGTCTGACTGCCAGTGATTCATTCTCCTCACAGTGTACAGAAAGTGGGCAGGAAATGTTCCATGAAAACTGGTGAGGTAAAACACAATACATGGTTTTCAGTGTGTTGAAATAAAAATACTGTTTTTCTTCTGTCAAGGATGAAATAAAATAACCAGTATTACCATCTAAGTACTGTTAATATGTGAACCACATGTATTACTTTGCTTCATACTTCTCCCTGAAATCTGAACAGGATGGCATGCCCCTTTCCCAAGCTTGTTGTGGGTGAGAATTATCTGCAGTGTAGGACTGACTGGCAGCAGCATCTTTATCATGTGTTGTAATTTCATTACATTCCTGACAAGGAAATAACACAGGAACTTAACCAGGTGGCTTGTTCTGTGTTTGATAAATACACAGGGTTTGCAGAATGCCTATAAACTGCAATGAAGATGTTTCTTGTTCTTAATTTTAAAATCCCTCTAAGAAAGATATTCTTTAATTTCTTGTTGTGTACATCCCTCTTCCTGCTTCCCATTAAACAGACTTAACAGCATGGTTGTAACCCAAGAGGTTTGTACTTCCTGTATCATCTTCATACATTAGCAGTACAGTGGGCAAGGTCTCTCTTTTAATTTTTTTTTCTCCTTATATGTATATTTTTTCTATTTAAGCTTACTCATACATAATTTCTTTCTAATTAATATGTTCTGTTTCATAATTTAGCAAACATGGATTTTTCATTTCCTTACAGTAAAAGGGGTTTGTCTACTTTTAACAAACATGATGGAACTTTAGTCTGTTTTCAGAGAAATTATTCAGAAAGTTGCAAATAAGTCAAAGGTAGCTGAAATAATGGAATATCATGAGTAGATTTAACACTAGATTGCATAGCTTCATGTTCTGTGCTATCAGGAGCCTATTTTTGTTAATGTTGATAAGGTTTACCAGTTCTTACTTCTTTGTGAGGATTATGCTAAAAGAAAAATGAAAAAAGAATATGAAAGTATTCAATCACTGAAACAGGATTACTGTTTTATTTTGCTAGCCTTTAAAATTACCTTCAATGGTCAAATCCCTGAAAATTTCCATATTTTTGGATATATTCTTTTAAAGAAAGTGATCTCCACCATCATTGCAACATTTGAGCTGTGTAGTTCTTTAAGGCATTTAATTTGGAAAGTCTACAAATACTAAAAATGCTTGCTTGCTCATAAAGCTTCTCTTCTGTAATACTGAGAATGATTTTTGTTATTTTTATGACATTCTGTTCCATTAACTCTCTGACCAGGGAAAAAGTGGTGTATGCTAAGCTGTTCTGGAACCATCAAGAAATATGAAATGATTATGTCCTGCGAGTGGTAACACGACATATACTAATCCAAATTGAAACTTATGAGGATGTCATGAATGCAGAAAGGCAGGTGCTCTCAGCAATGTGCAAACCGTCATTCACACACTGCAGAGCTGAAATGCATCAGATGTAATGACAGAGCAGCAGAACAGATCTGTTGTGGTATGAATAGCCAGCTGAATAGGGTATCACAGATCAGCAAAACATAGGTGTAATAGGTATAACAGACCCTTTGCATCATGTAAGTCCTATGTAGAGTCTTTTGTAAAAATTAACCAATTAGATTTAATCTGATTAATAAAGGACAAATATGCTCACAATCTTGAAATAAGGCTTTAATTTAAGAAGTGGTTCTTAGAAGTAGTTCTGTTTACCTGACACGCTGTCTTTGTGTTGGGACTGTCAGTAATGTCTGGTAACTGGATAACCACCTGGATTCCTGCTGCCTGTCTTAGAATAGTTGCAGAAGAATGATCTTAGAAATACTCTGCCTTGTCAGTAGCAGAGGAGCTTCCACCTTCATTTATGGAATTACATTAAAAACATTTATGTTTCTGATAATAATATGCAGAAAATATATACAGAATAATATATAGGAAACCCATTGCAGAGGGTTTTCTTAAATTGTAATACCAGCACTTAGAGAAATCTTGATGACTTGAAAATTTCATGAGTTTGCTAGACAGCAGTTGTTGAACAACAACATGTATAACACGTGTCTAGTGTTTGTCTTGCCTTAGTGATTTTTTTTTTAATAATCTGTGCACAGTATGCAAACTGGCTATTTGCAGTAGATAGTTTTTCCACATCAGCAGTACTTTGTAATTCTGAAGTTACATTTGCTACTGTGGGCTCCAGTGACATTGTGTGCAACATAATAGGAATGGTTTTCTTATTTATAGAAGGAACTCAGTATTTGATGCAATAGGTAAATTTTGCCAGAGAGGTACCTAATAAGGTATGTAAACTTCATTTCGGTAGTCAAATACTTCATATAACAGATACTTTAAATGATTACTCATTTAGAGTTTAAATAATTTCCTTTTGTGATGAAAAAATCAGGCTAATGCTGCCAAGGCCTATGAACAAAACTGGGGTATTTTGTGCAGTGCAAACAGTCAAATAGAAAAGGACACATAGGTAAACCAATTACTTGTGCCATAAATAGAAAATATTTTTTCGTTAACTAAGCCCCAAAAGCTGTGCCTCTTCTGACCAAAATGTCATGCAAGTGCATCATGTTGCTATGTTCAAACAGTTCTGACAGACACTAATCTTAGAGCTTAACTTTTTGTGCTTACCCATTACAGAAAATCACTAAAGTGAGTGGGTAATAAAAATTTATAAAGAATGCTCATTTCAAAAGATAAGTAATAAGTCAGGGGTAAAGGGGTAAGCTTTGGATCTGTTTTATTTCTTGCAAGCTACAGGCTGTGCAAAGGTTCCCTTAAACAGCTTTTACAGAGCTCATGCAAACAAATTATGATTTTTCTCGGAGACAATAAAATTTCTTCTAACTTGCCAAGAAAAGCTAGGTGCTCTTTTTCAACAGTAGTTATTTTCAAATCAGATAGACAGTCTGTAGGCCAGAAACTGAATTATAATTGAAATCATTGATTCTATAAATTATTGAGATGGCAATGGATATGGTATTCTTTTGTATATAATACTACTTCTATAAGCCAGGCACAGCTGTGTTTTTATTAGGATTGAAAAAATTTCTTACTCTAGTACTAGAATATATTATGGCAAGGCTGACAGTCTTGATAAATTTAAGCATTTAATTCTCTAAAAATGTACTGTATATGGAATTACCTTACAGTCTTCTGAAATAAACATCTTCAGTTACTACACAGCAGTTTAAAAAAATTACCCTATTTTGGCCAAATCAGATATCTGTCCAAGCAGAGAAATCCAAGTACTTTAATCACTCACAGGGTAACTTTTCTCCTAACCGTTTCCCAATCCATGTGGATACTAAAAGTCATGTTTAACAGTAAGGTTGAGCAAAAAGTTACACCATAATTGAGTTATATCTCTGTGTATGGGATACAAAAGCAAAATATTGCTCAAAAGCTTTTCAGGAAAGAATGCTTTAAAGTAGACTGCAGTACAAATAACTTCCAGTCGGCATTTGGCCCAGGCTGTTTTGTTCATTTCTGCCCCTTCTCAGGGGCAGTGTAGTCTCATCCCATGGTCTGCTCTTGCCAAGCAGTTTAACATGTAAATGGTCTTATTGAAGCTTTGGTAATATTTGTGTTGGTGCTGCCTCAAAAATGGAAATGAGGAGAC